AGAACAATTTGTTTTGAGAAATACTTTTGTACTTGTATTTGTATTACAAAATTACTTTGTACTATACAAAATTAACAAGGATTTCAAGGACTTTCTGAGTAAATTAATATATACGTAATTACTATAATAACTGTTGCTGAATCGACGCACTTTTCATGGTTTTTACCACATTTTCCTTCATTAAAAAATACTTTTTTAGCATTTAAAAGTTAAAGCTTCTTTTTTTAATAATATGTGATTATTAATTTTAATATTGTGGTACAGCTGCATTCTTATGCTCTGTGGTCTAACAACAGTGTCGTAACGAGGCGCGCCGTGTCACAATACTCGCACTTTTTCTACTGATATCCGCTCGCTTCAATTAATTGCGATTGTTTGAATTTTAAATAAAGATACGAGAAACTGATGATATATTTGTTTAGGAATATTCGTGTATCTTATTTTTTATTTGTTAATGTATTATTGTTGGAATTGTTAGGATTTGAACTATTAAACTACGGTAAAACCTTATAGCGACTGATTTAACAGTGGTAGAGTCCGCTTTAACATCTTAGCACTGCAGGGCCGGCACGCCCGGTGTAATACCACGACCACACAGAAGACAGGCGTGAAATGGAACCAATGCCGTGTTTCGTCTGACGAGTGTGGTGCCGGAGGCCTAATTTAAGTCCCTTTCTCTTTACCACCCTTTTCTTATGAGAGGATGGGAAGGGGAAGTGGATTTGACGATGGAGGAGATGTATAGGAAGAGGAAATATCCTCTTTATGTGCGTCTCCTCCTCCGTCGGATAAGGGTAGGCGACGCATCTGCAATTGCAGATGTCCATGGGCAGCGGTCGCCTCGCCATTTTGGCGGATTCAGGTGGCCGCTTGCTCGTTTGCCATCTTATGTTATAAAAAAATTTTACCTTGACTTCTTCCACAAGGAATTAAAAAACATTGCAGTCTATATGTTTTCCAGACTATGTTCTAAATCTATGTGCCAAATTTCATCGAGACCCATTACGCCGTTTTGCATATATTGTAGCAGTTATCCATCCAATCTTACCTAACCTTACTATGAAGTAAATGATCTATGTGTTGACAACTATACTTACGGAAAGATACAAGCGGCATTGAACGTGACCTTCACGCTGTAGGTGTGAAGGGGTGGGCAGTAACCGGCTTAGTATCGATCCCACCCACACGATGGTTATATAATACCAATTTAATGTGCGTGTACGGACGATAATCCTAACCTCTTAATGATAGCGAAGCCAAGCTAATATTTCGGTATTTAGTTAAGAATAATAAACATCAAAAATGTTATATATTATTATTTATAGAGTAGCTGTTCCCGTGCGACTTCATCCGCATGAAATTTTAAAAATGTTATTTTATTGTTTACATTTGTCAAATTACAAATGTCAAAACGACATGATGACAACCTTGCTTCCTTGATGTTGACAGCAACTTATGGTCTCTTTCCCACATTAAGGTCTTTATCCAAAATATTTACCCCCTAAGTTTAATAGAGTTAAAATGTATAGTCCAAAGCGTGGTGCAAGTGTAGGGCTTTTTATTAAAGAAATAATTATTCAAAAATATCCTGTTATTGCTGATATCTTACGCAACAAGGAAGTGTTTGTTTACGCTTTATTATAATTTAGTATATTAGTAGCACTATTTTAAGATATTGTTATTAAAAATGCATCAAATTCACTTATCCATTTTCAATTCTAGAACCTTCCATGAACGCGTTTTTAGCATTACTTACACTGTTCAAATAATTGTAGAAACTTCCATTTCTTCCCGTTCTCAATCTGGAACATTCGATCACTTCGCTTTTGTTGAATAAATCCTGCCAATTCTAGAATCTTCGATCTTTAAGCGTATTTTGTACTGGCGTTTAACGCTCAGCGTTGACGCGTTTTTAACGCTCCTGCTTATACAAAAAATATTTGGAATATTTAGTCATATTTCAACGTTTTTTTACGCGCAGTGTAAAAGAGCTCATTTAAATTTTAGTTTATTGTCTCTGATTTATCGTTTTTAAAGCAATTATTGCCATTAATTAGATCGACCATTAGTGAACGATTAGGGTCGTGTATACGTGACCCGAGCCTCGTCTTCCAACCCTAGTTGGCTCGCTATCTGATATCCTACGTGTCTAATGACACAATAAATAATTTAATCGGCAAATCTATTTTGTATTTTAATGTGTTCTATTATTCAAACTAGTTGTTTTCTATGTTAATTATATTTATTTGTTTCGATATCTCGAATTGTCAAAATTGTACCGTTTTTTGTTTTAAATACGATAGATGGCGTTAATTTGAACTTTTCCATTTTATATTGAGATATATTCTCATTAGGGTTTAATTATTTCTATACAAAATAATTATTGAAAAAAACTTGCTGGAACATTTTCCGACTTTGACCTGTTTCAAATTTTCTATTAATTACACATTCTAATTGAATAAACCAGTTTTTAAACTATAAAACAATTACAAAAGATATCATAAATTACTTTCCTATCAGCCGCTAATTTGAATAAAACAATTTGAATAAATAATCGTAATAAAGAGGTTTTTTATTCACATGCGTAGTGACGTTTTATTTATTAATTATCTGTGTTACTCTGACATGAGTCAGGCGGGAAAATAACAACTTTATTATGCAATGGACACACCTCCGGTAAATTTAAATATTGGACGTAAATTTATTGATCCACTTTATTTTTTTATTTATTAATACATTTTACGTAGTTGTTTTAAAATAGAGGTTCACGGAGGTTGAAATAAAACAAGTTTTTGATACGGTATACGATATATTTGAAATACATAACTATTTATAAATTCAGAAGCAATAATACGCAAGTAAATCAGTTTAGCAACAAAAAAAGTTAATACTGGCTGACTATACTTTATTAACAATATCGATTAAAAAAAAAACAATTGAATATTACTAGAACTTTCTATAACTGTTACTAACATCTATATTTTTGTCTACACTCTATACTAATATTATAAAGAGGAAACTTTTTTGGATTTTTTTATTTATTGATATAATTCAAAAACTACTGAGCCGATTTCAAAAATTCTTACACTATTAAAAAGCTACGTTATAACTGTGTAATATTTTATACTATTCTTTTAATTCCACGCGGACAAAATCACAAGCAACATTATAACCTTAAAATAATATTAACGCTCACGTGGCAATTTTCTTTCCACAAAACGTCAGAATTAACAAAGAAATTGATTTGTCAATCATTAATATTGCAACACTGTCAACCCCGAGCGCGGTGACGTCAAGATCGGCCGCTTGGCAACAGTTACGTCAAACTTACAAAGGTAACGTAATGCAATTTGAATCACACAATGAAGCTACACAAAGAGATAAAAATGCATTAACTTTACAATTGGTTAAACTTAATATGACTCACTTTCGCGACTGCCGCGTGGAATTAAAAAAACAAAAGCATGCCTACCAGACTATCCTCTACAGCTATGCGAAATTTTATCGAAATCCATTCAGCGGTTTAGGCTACAATTCTCTCTAATAAACATCTACATATAAATTTTAACGTACATAACGTTCGTATTACTGTAAGTACTACCTTTTTATATATAGAGTAATAGAGAAAAATATTAGAATATATGAGAAGGGACAACGGCGGGAACATCGAAATTTAACAGCTTTAAACCGCTTATAGGTTTTCTTTTGTTTTATGAAAAATGTCAAATAGTTTTTTTTTAAACAGGATATATTATCTGTGCTGATAATTTTTACTCTGTAACAATCCAGTTGGGATTAGAACAGAAACTGTTCATTAGTATTGCGTCTTAATAGGATATATGTTGAATAATGAAACTTAGTGTTTCGCAGAATACACGTAATTTTCCCAACATAAGGATAGAATTCTTTTAAAGTCAAATTAAAATAATGATTTTACATTAAGAAATATGACAATGACACCTATAATAAAAAAAGAAATATAACAAGACTCTAAACAATTAGTAGTACTTGAGTTGGCACGTGGGGTAATAGAGTAATGTTTGTGATGACGTGCCAAAATACCGTGTATTGACACACTTTTATTAAAAAGCGTCTCTCAAGAATGAGGAAACCACGTAATGGGAGAAAAGTAGCTTTTTGATAACTTATGTGACTTCCCAAAAGAAGAGAGTCCTCAATACATTGGTATATTATTTTTTTAATGTGTTACACCATATCTCCGGCCCTGGTGGACAGATTTTGAAAATTCTTTTTTTAACCGAAAGGTAAAGGGAAATAATATATAATATTATATCTATACCATTATAATAAAGCGTAAACACACACTTCTTTGTTGCCTAAGATGTCGGCAATTACAGCATATTTTTGAATAATTCTTATTTTAATAAAAAGCCCTACACTTATGTCACGCTTTAGGCTATATATTTTCACGCAATTAAACATAGGGGGTAAATATTTTGGATAAAAACTCTAATGTGGGAAAGAGACCATAAGTTGCTGCCATCAAGAAAGCAAGATTACCAAGTTTTGTCATGTTATGTCATTTTGACATTTGCAATTGACAATTTGACACATGTAAATAATAAAACAATTTTATGCTCATATAATCGCGCGGAAACAGCTAGTAATTCATACAAGGGGAAATTCAATACGTCACAAAAGTTTTGACTCACGCCTAAAGATGATGAAATTTAAAACATTTATGACACGTTATCAATACCACATTCATGATTTAAAAATAAATAAAAAGTATTACTTGTCAATTAACATTTTTAAAGATGACTTTTATAGTGTGTCTAAATAATTTAGGTTAGTTTGACAATTCATTTCAAATTTAGTAGGGATGTGTTGTGTAAAAACAGTCATGAATCTTATCGATTTTCGATTTTTATTCTTATAGAAGTTGGAATCGATAGATTTATAGTCATAACTGATGAAATTAAAAAAAAACAACGTTTTCTCTAATTAATCTTGACCATAACAAATAATGACAGTAAATAAATGTTTTTTACTAATACAGAAGTACGTAATCGAATTGGATTTCGCTATTATTTCTGTCATCGCTAAATTCTCTACATTATAATCAATATTAGAATTGTTCTCTAAATTAGTTAATAAGAAAATAATAATTTTAGTTGAGTTCGATAATTATTTAAAACGAATATCGATAGTTCAAAATTGTTCGATATGCGTGTTTGTTTCGTCACTACGATACCTGTCTATTAAGTATGGCATTTTGCCTCCTTACAAATTGAAATCGATACTTCATATGCGTCATTTATCAAACTAATCTATCTTATTTAGACACACTATAGTTGTCTATTAACATTTTTAAAGATAAATCTTAATTAAGTTCAAATTATATCTTGTTTGTTAACATTATTTTAAAAATAAACAGAAAAACTTTCTTTTGGATCAGAGTGCTAATGGGAACGTTTTATAATCATAAAATTCGAATCCAAAAAACAACTTTAAGAAAAAAACTTATGAGTGCGCCAGACAGAAACATTTAGTGCAGAAACCCGGAGAGCCTTCGCATTGCTTGCATTCATAAATCGTTTGCATTCTGATTTTCTGTGCTCCACAACCTTTGCATTGTTTTCTAGCAACTTCTGTGTATTCTTTAATCACACCTCCTACTTTCTTTTGTCTCGTTCGGACCTTCTCAATTTTAGTCAGCTCGTGTTTGATTTTCAAAACGCTGCGTCGATGAATTTCACTAGGATCAGGTAAAAGCTTCTCTAGTATTTGCAAACGGAAATTATACATATTGATTCTATCCTTCTTAGAATATTTGTTGTACAAAGAGAATGCATTACTAAGACTTATTTGAAGTATATGCACAAATAACTTCTTGTGCCAACGCAACGTCTTTCTTTGAAAAGGATAGTAAGCCAACATCTGATCTGGAATTTCAACGCCAGATATAAAATTTTTATAATATACAATTGCTTTCGGTTTTAATATGGATCTCATCTTCGATATAGTTGGGATCATTTCATCGCCATATTTTGTAGAAATGTATACTTCGTAACGTTTATTCCTCCATTTTCCAATATGAACACCGTTCAAGAATAATGATTTATTCTCTCCTTTCTCTAATAAGATATTCTCAATTTCGATAGGATTATCTTTGCGGTTCTTTTTCAATGGTCCTGTGCAATATGTGTCTCGTTCTAGCAATGTCAACGCCAGCGCATATGAGTTATAGTAATTGTCAAGGTACAAATGATGGCCACAATCCATTCTCTCTTCTAGAAGTTTCAAGACGATGTTACTAGCATCATTTTGATCAGCTGTCTCAATATTTCCACCTGTCTGAACATGAAATTTCACAATCGTACCATCTTGTTCAGCTAGAGAGTACACTTTGATGCCGTATTTATGTGTTTTATTTTTTATAATCTCTCTCAACAGTAAACGACCTCGCAATAAAACCATGCATTCATCCACTGATAATTCTTTCCCCGGAGAGTAGATATCGTTCATCTTCTTATTAAAATGATCCATAACTGGTCTGATTCTGTTCACACGATCTTCACATGATTCAGACGTAAAGTTTAGACATCTTAAAATAAGTAAAAATCGATTTCTAGACATAAACTGCGCGAAACAGGGTATGTTAATCAAATAATGTCGTTTCCAATAATCACTGATACGGTTTAATCCAATTGTTCCCGTGTGTAGAAGAAGTCCGAGAAATATGAGTAATTCATCTCGTGTCAATTCTGTCCAATTTTTTATTCTGGAATTTGTCTTCACATTGTCCTCAGCACTCGTTCGTAATGCGTTTGCATTCGTCTCTCGAACAATGATATCCAATAAATCGTCATCAATTAACAAACGGAACGCTTCGTAAGGATCTGATGGAGGAGGTACTAAGAGCCCCTGTTTTTTAGTAAAATTTATAACTTTCATTGGTTGTGGGTTACTGCTCCAAGTGCTGGTGGTTTCTTGAGGTGAGTTGGTAGTACAGTCAGGTAATGGGACAACATCGTTTTCGTCACATTCTTGATTTACCTCTGGTTTTAATGCTGAGGATGTAATATCTGAAGGTGACATTGGCAATTGAACTAAAGCATCATGCGTGTCTATTTCCTCCTTGGGGGCATCAGGTTTTAAATTACTTGGAATAATGGAGCTTTGATCAGACTCACTTAAATCTTGTTTTGATGATGAGACCAAAAGTGGATCTTGTGTGTCTTGAATACTTACTGGTTCACGGTTGGTCTTGAGCTTTGATGGTGATTCTAAAATATTTACCTCATCATCATCAGATCCTTTCGGACTGGATTGATCATCTTTCGACACATCTTGTGAGCTCAATTCTTCATCGCTAAAGTCATCAGAATCATCCGAATCATCGTTATGTCGACTTTTTTTAGCAAGTGACGGAATTATCTGGTTGATTTCAGCGTCGTCTGAAGGACGGTCCATTTTGGCGCGAAACTATCCGCACCGTGACCGAATCACTATTAGAATTATTCCAATTAAAGAATTATTTACCAAAAAAAATGTTAAGTGTAAATCGATATTTCCCGAATAGCCAGGCAAAGCAACGCTCAGTCGCCGCAGATGCCAGCGCTTCACTAACGATCGCAAAATACATGGGACGCATGCTCGGATCCGAGGGAGAGGCACAGTTACTTTAGCCCCGCCCTACTCGGATCCGAGTGATGGGCGCAATCGTAAGGCCGGGGGAGGGGGGTGGGGGTTAAATTTATAGATTTTTCTGTAGTTAATTGTAAGGTTATACTTCAGTCTTTAAATGATTTCTTCTAAATTCATCTGAAACGGTGTCTTTTACACAGTGACGTTATTACGGTGAATAATACATCATAATATGAAGTCAATAGACCTAATTTAGGGAATGCTCTGAGCCATCGAAGGTCGTATGAACTCATGATGATTTTTTAGGTTATTTCCCATAATTATAAGTTTATTCATGGTTTTAGACTAGAGTAAATATTCCTGTTAACGTGATCAATAAATTAAACGGAATTAGATGACGTTTAATAGCGTAAAATAACAAAATCACTGTCAAATATGACCAATTAATTAAAACAAAAACGTTATCAAGTCTCATTAGTTAATGTTTTTTTGCACTTTAATTGAAAAATACATTGTTAGTTTTTTTGGATTCCGCTAGCGAAAATAAACTTTTTATTTTATTTACAAAATAACATGGTTCGTATTTTTTACGACGAATGAGAAGAAAAAAATGTTTTTATAATAACTAGGTAGTTTCCTCGACATTTAAGAAAGACTAACTATAAAGTTAATGGCCATATTGCCCGCAGAACGGACGGCCGATGGGGCCGAAGAGTCCTCGAGTGGCGGCCACGGATAGGTCGTCGCAGCGTAGGTAGGCCTCCCGCAAGATGGACCGATGACCTGGTCAAGGTTGCGGGAGTGCACTGGATGCGGGAGGCACAGGACCGGGCATTGTGGCAATCAATGGGGGAGGCCTACGTTCAGCAGTGGACGACCTATGGCTGATAATGATGAACTATAAAGTAAATAATTAGTTTCAGGCTTTTTACTGATATAAAATCTGAACTAAATATTGCTTAAGAAATCTTGAATTTATAAAGTGAAGATAGATCCAATGAATTTCAAAACAAATCAAAACACATGTTATTACGCATGGCCTAAATTATGAGTAACAGCGATCTGTAGCATTTAATTTTGAAATTTTCCTAAGCAATTTTACGAAAGCGGATGAACTTTCGAATATCGGGCGATTTGTTATAGTTTTTAAACCATTTATCCATCGTATAAGAATCGCATTTAATATAGTACCAGTAAAAGTTTGTAATACATCACCACAATACTTCGTCACTAATGCCTCGCCTAAGTAAGGGATGACTAGACCATAGTCGACCACGCATCACTCCGGGTTGACTTAGACAGATATGTGCTATGAATTGCTTCACCCATTTGTCATCACGATGTTTTCCTTCACCGTAAGAACATCGGGTAAAATATTTACATATGAAGTATTTACGTCGCTCCTGTCGCTATCGTCAGATTGGTGGATATTAAAACGGTTTTTTGTATCTTTACTTTTATAATAAAGCATAAACACACACTTCTTTATTGCTAAGATGTCAGCAATTACAGCATATTTTTGAATAATTCTTTATTTAATAAAAAGCCTTACACTTACGTCACGCTTTAGGCAATATATTTTCACGCCATTAAACTTAGGGGATAAATATTATGGATAAAAACCCTATGTGGGAAAGAGACCATAAGTTGATGCCAACATCAAGGAAGCAAGATAGTCAAGGTTTGTCATGTCATTTTGACATTTGGTATTGATAATTTGACAACTGTAAACAATAAAATAAAATTTTCATAATTTCATGAGGATGAAGGCGCACGGGAACAGCTAGTTTTAAATATTTCAAACAAACTTTCGCCCGCAACACCGTCTGCGTGAACTTAAAAAAACAAAAGTGAGTAGCCTAGGCGTTTTTCCAGACTATCCTCTACATTTACACCAAATTTCATTAAAATTCGTTCAGCCGTTTAGGCTACAAACTCTAACAAACATCCATCCAAACTTTCGCATTTATAATATTAGTTTGATATAGTTCTAATTTTAGCTGCTTTAAAGATAAATTGGTCCGGCTGAATAGGGTGACCTGTGTCACGTTTGAAAGATAAAGTAATCGCAGCACAGATAATAAAATAACATGTACAGACAGAATATGAGTAGCCAATGATAACGGGCTATCTATGTTTAAATAATTTAGTTGATTCTAATAAAGTATTAAATTGGGAACTCAAAATCAATTAAATGATTAAAAGACAACCAGTAGACCAATATTTTGATGGTTCCTATGTAAACTGTCGTATGTTTAAAACCAGTTTTTTACAAAACAAAACTTCAAACATGAATACAATCAGTTCTATATGATTTTACTTTCAATCTTACTAATATTATAATTGCGAAAGTTTAGATGGATGGATGTTTGTTAGAGTTTGTAGCTTAAACGGCTGAACGGATCTCAATGAAATTTGGCGTAGTTGTAGAACATAGTCAGTAAGAATACATAGGGTACTTACATTTTTTTTTAATTTCACTCGGACGGAGTCGCGAAAACTAGTATTACATAAACATAGTATTTGTCATGTTAATTTAAACAAAATCAAAGGAAAGAGCTATCGATATTGTTAAAAAAAATAGATTAAAATAACGTGGAATATAAAAACCACGACGCTGAGCTTTATATCTTAATCTAAAACAGAACTTTCTAGACACTATTATACGTTTTTGATATGCCTGCCCTCTATTGGTGAGAACAAAACAACTGCTTTTAATATGATCATTCCTAGAAACTAGAAACGCTTCCTCGCTTGTCCTTATTCCATAAAAAGTCGCCGTCTCTTATAATTTATGGCTCTGCACATGTGTTTGTATATTTGTATATTTAGAGAGGGCACGTCAACAGACGCCTCTGTTCGCGTCCCGTTAATTCAGCTTCGAGTAAAGTGTGGGAAAGCAACGGCAGTAGTCAGAGATGGCTTATTAGCGAATGACCTTATTTTTTTATAGGTTTAGAATTAATAGAAGAATGAGTTAGAATTCTAGTATCACTTATTACTAGATTAACTTTCACTCACTACTCAGTCTGCGTGGAATCTCTATCAGCCGTCATATCTGAATCCACTCCTTTCATAAGCATATCCTCTTTCACATCCATCCATACTTTTTTCGGTCTTCCTCTACCTTTGTAGCCATCCAAATTCAATCTTAATACTTTCTGTTTTGTCCCCATCGTCTCGTCGCATATGTCCATACCACGCTAACCTTTTGCTTCTCAATTTCTCCACCACTGGCGCTACTTTCAAACTTCCTCTAATGTATACATTCTATATAATGTATTGAGTATTACATTGTGTGTAATTAATAGGCTTTGCCAGCTTATATTTTAAGCTTGATATAATGAGGGGAGGGGATGGGGGTCAGCTAACATTAACGTGGTTTTTATACCCATTTTTAGAGTTTCTAAAAAGTGTAGGGGTATCCTAACCTACACACTTTGGCGACGCACGCTTTTCCATTGGCACTACGCTACACGGCTTTAGCGAGACTTAAGAGGTTGTTTTCTTAGAAAAGAAAATTATCCAAAATGTCTTTAGCTGATCGCAGTACCTCGTCGTTTAATGATCGATTACTCTTACGAAATCTACACTTAAATGGTCATTATGACTTTGAGAGTAACATTATGACTTTGTATTCATAATATGATGTATAATTTGTCAACGATCAATTTTCTAGTATCAATAGTTTGTGAACAATAAGAGTTGTATATCAAATATGCGACCGGTGACGCGTATCGCCTCCCCAGCTGCACTAAAAGGGTCGACAGATGCCTAACTATTGTAAAATGTTGTTACGCATGAAATGTCGTTTATTTTACTCCTATTAGTGTGATGGTTTAGAAATGTTTTGCAAAATAGTTATTTTTTTTAATCTATACATATAATAAAATTGGAGTGTCTGTTTGTAATATCAAAAGAAAAAGTCAGATCTCGGGTAGATGATGTATTTGCGTTGCTGATAACGAAAATCGCATTTATTTTTTTTGTCTGTCTGTCTGTCCCGCAAGCCGCGTTTATTCCGGGTAATCTACGAAACGGCTGGGCCTATTTCGATAGGACTTTCTCTGGAGGTTAGCTGACATAGACGGGCATATTATACGCTACTTTTTAAATTACGAGTTGTTAAAATGGCGACTGGACCGATTTGGACGGGGCTTTGACTGGAAGATAGCTCGTAGAAGGTAGATGCGCGCGGGAATGTGATAGATGACTTAGTTTTCTTTTAATCCGCGCTAACGAAGTTTGCAGGCGAACGCTCGTATATTATAAATGCGAAAGATGGATGGATGTCCAATCCGGTAATAATAACGAAGTAACGGCCCGAGCCGAGGCTCCTGAGGGAGCCCTCGAGCCTAGTTACTCATAAAAGAGGTTTAGGCTAAGCGCCATCTGCGCTGGGCCACCTCAAGCCCGGTGAATCTGTAAATGCCTCTTCAAGGCAAACAGTGACAAATCAGTCACAAAAAAAAAAGATGGATAGATGAATATTAGTTACATTTTGTCTTGTAAACTTCTGAACAGATCTCGATATTTGTCAAATATGTGGAGCATAGTCTGGAAAACATAGGCTACCAACTTTTTTTTAATTCCACGCGGACGGCGTCGCGAAAATAAAGTTTATTGCGCCACAGTTGAAACAAAGGTTATAATTTTCACATAGCAACACGGATACAATCCCATTTATTCCTTTTTTAAACATTGTGATGATAAAAAATTAATACACAGTTTTACAATCTTATTAAAGATAAAAAAATCGGTTAGAACAATGTCCATTGTAAATGAAGTCTCAGTATAATTGTCTACGATTAGTGCATCAATTTATTTTTCTCTATGGTACAGCGGAGGACGTATATTACCTACCCATTAACTAGACATGATTGTTTAAAAAAAGGGAACTCATTAATGTAGGATTGCACAAGGTATATGCAACAAAAAAAAGATAAAATTTAGCAAAATATAGTACAGGCCAAGAGTCTGTTGTGTTGATAAAAAAACTAGACAATACTAGGCCGAAAACTTGTAGCTACGTTTTGTTAAATTA